CTGCACACTGTGTTAACGTCGTATCACTTAAGTATATTGGTGGTTATTGTGTTTGCTGGAATTTAGTTGGTGCAGTAGTATACTTGGCATCTTTGTGTACATTTTTTATATTTTTTTATTTATTTTTTTGTGGCTGACGCTCTGGGTAATTCTGTGGATTCTACACGTGGAGATATACTTGACGCACTGCCACTGTTTCTCAATGGTAATACCTGGTGGAACTATTTTTGTCATGCTACAACAGTTCGTGTTTGAACTTAATACACGTTATTACATTTATTGTAATTGCTTGATTTTACTGAAACTGGAAGGAACTTACATTTTTCTACTGGACTGTTTTCTGCATCAACTCTACATCAATACATGCTTTGTGGTGTACTTGTGTATTATATTATGTGTTCTATTCTGGTGCGCCATTGTGATGTGATCGTCTAGGTATGATCGTCTCAGTGTTTATCGGTTTGTAGCTGTGTGGTTGAAATTTCTGTGATTTACAGTGGTTTCCTTCCTATTGAAATAATTGTGGTGTGGACAAAGTTTCTTCAACTTCCAGTGAATATAAATGATGCAGCGTGAAGACAATCCTTCAACTTCTGGTAAATCTTACTATGTCAGAATATTAAGCACAGATGCTTGGCGGAGTTCAGTGGTGTTGAGAACATTGTTCAACTTCCATTGCTCAACTACTAGCGGATTTTCTTGTAGCCGAAACAAGTATTTTGGTGCAAATGATTGTTACTTCTTTACACTATACTGTCTTATTATTATATATTATAGTTTGTATATATACTCATTTCTATATGATATGTATCATCTATGATATCTTTGCACTTCTGCTGTTCGCTTTTTTTTTATAATTTGTTAACTTGCATTTAATTGTTGTGATTCTAATTTTATTTATCTTCGTTACTTCTAATTGTTACTGTATATTTACACTATCTTATTTTGTCAAAAAAAAAAAAAAATACTTGTATAAATATATATTACGCCTGTATAATATCCTTGTTGCCCTCCCATCATTGTACTATTTTACTCTTAATGTTTATTAATATGCTGTATTCATTGACATAATTATTTAGTGTTTTTAAATCCTGATAATGCTCAGCGAAATCAGGAAATGTAACGTATGTTATTTTAATAAAATGAATGAATGAATGAATGAAATAAATATCATTAGAATGTCGGGCCACCGAGCCGGGCCGTCCGTTAAACGCGCAATAGGCTCGGCAGAGCACGCGGCAGGACTCCCCACGGCACCCGAAAGTAGGCCAATTTCGGGGCTACATCTTGCTAAAAATCACATATAGAGGAACGATTCCTTTGACTTTTTCTCCCACGTTCACGCTGTACAGCTCTGTTAAGGTCCCAACAGTGTCATTCACATTTGCAATCTTGCCATTTTATAAAGTAACTTCACAAAGATTAGAAACTTTGAATAATTAGAAGCTTTCGGCAATGCAGAACCATCATTAAAAACAGTAACGAATACTACCCAAAGTAAAACGATAAATAATAAAAAAATTAACCTATCAAGAGCAAAGTCTTCGATCAATAATAAGGTCTCTATTGTAAATAAAATTAAGAGAAAAAACGTTAGTTTATAGTTTATAAACAATTACCAATAATAATTTTCACTTTAATGTTCAGAATTAAATGCAGTTACTTCTAATTCATATACAATTGAAAAACACGTGGCCACTACCTTGATACAATATATTTTATACATTTACATAAAATAGACATTTATGAATTTACCTTTCAGTTCTTTATCTTTCGTCTCTTCGACATTATTTGTTTTACTTTGTTCTCTGATTTTCTTCTGTTTTTTCTTAAATTTTTTGATTTTGGCTTGATCGTGTAACCCCATTCTGAACTACAGCGTGTAACGACTCACGCATCCTCTAGCGGACGGTTCTAGGCCAAATTGAGTTCTTTTAAAATACGCCAAATATCGTAAAATTTAATATTAAGAAATCTTTCCTTTTTATTACTAATTCTTATTTAGAAATTACTCAAAACTCTAATAAAACAATTATTTATTTTCAATAATTACAACGCTTAGATTAAAAATGTAATCACACGAATAAATATATTTTCTCATTATTATAAAAATTTCGTTTATGAAATTAAAGAATTTATAAATCTTTTAAGCGTTATCAAATATATAAATTTTACTTGTCACGAGACTCAACAGTTCTCACCGAGCAACGGTAGCGGTAACTGCTACGATCCGCCCAGCAAAGAGATGTCGGGCCAGCATCGGCCGTCGATTAATTAAAATGAGCCCATCAATGGCCGAGCGGTCTTCGTACCCCGAACACCGGGAGTTCGGTCTCGGGTTCGCGCCTCGCTCGGACGGGCTGGCCACGTGGAGTTTTCCGAATTTTCTCCGCGTCTGTAACGCCTAAATAAGGGCCAGTTTTCCTTAAAAAGACCTCCCGGAAGGCATTCCCCCCAGGCAGATCGCCCGAGTGTTGCGTTGCCATGACTTCACAAACAAACAATTAAAACGACCTTTAATTAATGCGGATGCTGGACCTTTATCGAATATCCAAGAAATTTCTCACTGCTGGTAAAGCAACATTAAAGCTTTATTGGCTTTAAATCGCCGAAGGAAAAATAATTTTATTTATAAATTCAATCATATAATCCCCAAGTAAATATCTACTTTAAAGCCCGATTCACGCTGTGGAGTTGTCCATAAATGACGTCCGCACCGGAGGGAGGAGTAAAAATTTCAAGAAAAATGGTGACATTATTTATGGACAGCCCGAGACAAAATTCGCTTCAAGATGAGGAATTCGGACTACGCAATTTTACCACGATAAAAACTTATATTTTCAGTATGAAATGAGTATTTTATAATTTCAGTTAACAACAAATTTATAAAAATCGTAACATAAATCTGAACAACCAACAATTTGATAACTCAATGGTTGAATTAATTTTTTGTTCATTCTGTGTAAAGTAAAGTGAAATTGGACAGAATACGTTAAAGTACACTTTAGTTGTCGCAAACTGTCAAGATCATAAAGCCAAATACCTACCTACACTTTAAAGTGGCCGGCAAATCGTCTTCGTAACACGGCCTTTGGTCTTTCACCACCTAATCGCTGTTTCTTTTTTCATTACTACTGTACTGCGGTTTTTCTCCAATGAACGAATAACTTCGGAAAATTAAAATAAAGACGGACTCTTTGAAACTCCAAATATATAATATGCTTTTTAAAGAGTATAAACGTTTAATAAAATTATCATCTTTTTCTCACCGATCATAGCCCCAAATCTCGGACTCGTATAACATTACTGGCTGAATAAATGACTCGAATAATTTTAATTTATCTACCAATCCAGCGTAACAATCTACCAGATACACAAGCCTTAAGCTAAGAAGGCTTTAGCCACCTAATACACTCCCGTAGCCTTTGGATCAGGAAAGTGGTGTGCATATCAATACCTTCGAAATACGAACATTACAGAAGCTATTATTTAACAACGTTCTTAGTATCTAATGACGTTTCTCTTTAATGCCGCTTCTATTTTCTTATTTCTAGAATTAATATCAAAAGTAAGTTGTTTTTATAAAACTGCTAAAATTAATCTCGAAGATTTCTAGAAATTCAAAAAATCCTATAATTACGAATTACGTGTCATAAACAAATATAATTTATTATATATAGGCCTATTGCTTATATTAGAACAAATTTTATAGACAAAATTTTAAAAAATATAAATAAAATGTAAGAATCCGATTATCGATACATTATACACCGATATCGAAATAACAATGAAAAAGAAAATAACTTTATTTGTTTTTAAGATATATTTTGATGTCTGGGATTCTTTTACGAAAGCCATGTTCTACCAGAGTCATGTGTGCTTTGCAATAAGGGCACATGTTGTCCCAATCCATCAAATACAAAATTCTTGGATGAATTTCACACGACTTTTTCAATCTTCCCGTTTCTAACATTCCGCAAAATGTACATAGAATGATTCCTTTCGGTCTTTCGCATATGCAAACCTATAAAAACACAAACAAATTAGCACGATCCTCACTTAATAAACAATTTCTATATACAGTATATATACAGTATTTCATTTTTGACTATTTCTGTTCTATGGGCACCAAGAAAGCTTCCCCCCATGTAAATCGTCAGTTGGGCAAGATTTACAAAACGGGTGGGTGGGTGGTGAGAGATATATCCGGGACAGATCACCCGTAAAAAGTCTTAGAGTTGCTCGTCCAAATTCGATCCCGGGTCTTCCAGAGCAGCCATCAGCCATCCCGCCATCCTATTTGCACTTTAAAAAATTTTCACCTTCTAGTCAAACACCCCACTATATAGTTCCACTCAACTATAATTAAACACACCAATAATGTCCTCTATTTTCAATTTTTTTTCTCTGGTAGACCTAGGTTTAAGCCAGCATTTCCAGCTGAAAATATTGAGGTCAATTCATACTCCGGTGTAACGCGTTAAAGTATCTAGGCTGATATTTTAGATTGTTAACTACAGCGTGGGTATTAATGCGTTCAACCTCGCGTAGATGTGTCCGCCCTGGAAAAAAGTTTTGGTTTTAGTATACATCACGAAGTCAAACTTAGTGATGGAGAAAATATCACAAAGTAGGAAAATAGGCCTGGTGGCGCTTGTATAGGCCTTTCTTTATCCAATTTTTTTTTAACGTAACGAAATACGCAGAATGTTTGTTTATTAATAAAAAGCAGCTTCAAACATTTTACTTTCGTTTCTGTTAGTAAAAATAACATTAATTTTATACGGGTAGGAACAAGGGGGAGTGCGAGGTGCGGGGAGGGGCAGCTGCCGCTCTCTAGAAAAAATGAAAGTGTAAAAATTGACACAGCACAGACGTATCAATTTAGTATCAGTTTGAATAATGAATATTCTGGCTATACTAGAGCCCAGCGCCATCTCTCGTGAAATCTTAGAACTAATTCGCTGTTCGTTGCTATTCTTGAACTCAAAGAAACTACGATTTGCCCCCCTCTAGTTCAGACCCCGGATACGCCGCTGGGTAGGAAGCATTATGGGTCCCTAAGTTCTCTGGCCTGGGGAAAAATTTCCAGCTCTCTTCTCTCAACGGTCCTTTGTACCACTGATAATAATAATAAATAATGAAACGCCAGGCCATGGTTAATCTCACGAAAAAAAGAAAGAATATTATATCAGTTGCGACGGTCGCGATTGAAAACTAGTTGCATTAGTGAAATATACCACATTGATAATTAGAATAAAGTGTTCGACTATTACGAGGGCTATTTTTTAAATAAGGTCCGTTTTTTAATAAGAAGAAAAATACTGTAAATATCATTAAAATATTCTACATACGTTTATCTACTTTTCTACATAATTTCCATTTTTGTTCAAACATTTGTCATGCCGCTCAAAAAACTTTTTAATTCCGACTTTAAAGAAATCTGCCTTCTTTGATTGCGTGTTGATCATGTAATTCATGACCATCTTGGCCATTGACAGCTGCCTTACGTGCGATAAATGATATTCGGGCTTTCTTCACATAAGTGAAGCATTGTCTAATGAGACCTTTCTGAGCTGCTGCTTCCATTTTCTTGCACTATTCTTCCCAGAATTTTCCTTTATCTTTCCTGGCTTCTTTTTGGAACTCTGCGTTTAATCTTTGCATTTCCTCTCGGTTACCAGAGCCGTAACTGGCCATTCCCGTGCCCCGTGCAAGAATTTGCATTTAGGCGCCTTAATTTATTCGGTTTTGGGAAAATAATAAAACAAATACATTACAAAAGATTTTTAATAAGATTTATTTTAATTGAATTTTTCTGGCTTTCATTTCAGCAAATTCATTAATTACACCATCATAATTAATATTTTTAACGATGTTGTATTCTATCGAAATAATAGAAATATTGGATAATCGTTCTTGTCCGATAGTTGATCTTAAATAATTTTTTATTAAGTTTAACTGGCTAAAACTTCTCTCGCGCGAAGCGATAGAAACGGGAAGAGTTAGAAATATTCGGAGAGCGACATTGATATTTGAGTAAGACTCGATTAAACCAAAATCATAAAGAGCCCGTAGAATATTAAGCGGAGATACGGTTTCTATATTTTGTATAAGGTCGTTACTTCAAAATTAAAACTTTCAATTTCACTCGCGAATTCGTACTTTTTTAAATCTTTGCTATATTTAATAGCGAGATCCGCAGCCGATTTTTTTAAATCAGCAACAATCGTGTATTGTAAAGACGAGCCACAGAGAAAGCAAAAATCGTTACGGATACTTTTCATTTTTTCATAACGCCAATCTATTTGACACAATAGAGCCGGGGTGGCCAAGTTCCTTGATAGTCCGAGCCATTTTTCAAAATTTGAAATTTTTCGCGAGCCGCAATTAAATACGTATTAAAAAGGTATGCAAAAAATTCCATATTACAAATTATATCCGTAGCAAGAGTGATACAAATTGTTTCCTCCAGAACACAACGTCAACTGTCCGTTGCAATGACAGTTTACAAATTCAAAATTGGTCTGGAGTAGGTCGATAACGGACGATTACGCCACTGTTTTATGTTCGTTCGCGCAGTTTTCCATGAGTCATACCATTCTTAACTTGGACGGAAATGAAATTTGTTACAACGTTGCACCTAGTCTTTCATATTTGTTGTTAGTAATTTAAAAGACATTTTGAAACACATACGGAACAATAATAATTTTTTAAAATATAATAACACAAAAATGAAAAGGGAATTCGGGTACATTTATCGAGAGCCACAAATAATCCTTCAAAGAGCCGCATGTGGCTCGCGAGCCGCAGGTTGGCCACCCCTGCAATAGAGTGTGAGAACACTGTAAATTCGTATTTTAAATAATTTTTCGGGTGTCGAGTTACTTCCTTCATTTGGCGTTTTATCTATTTCCATTATCTTAACTCTTTTTTTCGTTTATTAAGAAATCCCTTTTCTATACTTTTTGGTTTGTTTTAAGAATATGATCAATAATAGCATCTGTTAATATTGTTGGCCATAAAGCTATATCATTTATTACTTCCGTGTATCTATATATATCGAAGCGTTTTTCTGGACTAATTCTATCTTCTGCGTTTTCGCAATCCCTTTTTTCAGTAGCATTTTAAAGACTGCGGGAGCCCCTTCGTGGCCCTACGCGCCCGCATAGTTCGCTTACCGCTTAATCCGCTGTTCGGGTATACACCACATTCGCGTACCACTGCAAAGCAAAAAATGATGTAAGAATTTCTGCACGCCTTTTACAACCTCGAAACTAAGATTTTATTCGGTAGTTACCGTTTTCAATTTAGTAATTTTTAAAAAATCCTCGGACAGATTTATTTTTGTTACAAAATGACAGATTTTACAGATTTCTAGCTCTGCACACTGTAGAAGAATCTAGAAATACAGTTTTTGTATATCGTAATAATATTAGTAATTGCCAGAAAGCTCTATAAAGTAGAGAAAAATCTGTAAATTTGAAAACTAAACATAAATTTAAATTTCTCAAAAAATAAATGAAAAAATCTCAAAAGTCGCTACTTTTGGCTGATTTGTCTGAGATCTCCGCTACCTCACTACGTCCCTCTAAAAGTCGCCATAGTTGGGAACACTGGTGACCAGACATCTAGGGTCTAAGTAAGGCGAAATGTAATCGCCAAACCGCGCTGTAGAAAGGCGAAAAATTTTAAATTTAAAAATATAATTTCTTGCGAACGGCAGTTTGGGCCCCCCTTCCAAGTGGGCCCTGTGCGGGTGCACCTGTTGCACCTGCCTAGTTACGGCTCTGTCGGTTACCAATGATTTTTGCCTTTTTTCGTTGTTCTTCTACGACTATCGTAGTTTCTGACGTCCATTTCGCCGATTTTGCCTTCTTCTTGTATGGAATGAGTTGATGCCCAACACCACTGATATGTACTGTACTTTTATATCTTTCCATAGTTCTTCTGGTTCTCTTTCTGCGAAATTGAGCGAGTGAAATATATTCTTTATTTCTATATCATAGGCATCAGGGATCATTTCGATGTCAAATTTTGGCGTCGCTGATGGTCGCTTGACATTACAAAACCTTAGTTTCACTTTGGCAACGAGCAGTTCATGATCTGTTCCGCAATCGGCGCTAGAACACGTTTTCGCAGACAAAACGGAATACTTCCACTTTTGCTGGCACAGGAAGTAGTCAATCTAGTTACGATATTTTCCATTGGGAGAAGTCCAAGTGTACAATCGCCGCCTTGGTCATCTGCTGTTCTTGGCAGAACTGAATCAGTCGTTCACCGGACTCGTTTCGTTTTCCAAGACCAAATTTCCTACAATGCATGATTCTTCCATTTCACCTACTTTCGCGTTGAAATCTCCGATGACATAGACAACACCTTTTCTTGGTGTCTGACGCAGTGTTTCTTGGAATTCATTGTAGAAAGCCTCAGCTACCTCTTCTGAATCAGCAGTGGGCGTATAAACCTGAAGGATCGTAAAATTGCGAGATTTCCCTTTGAGACGGATTGTTATCAATTGTTCGAAAGCTTTCTATGGTGCGACTGATCTTTTTGTGCAAAATGAAACCTACTCCTCTTCGCCGGATGCTATCATTTCCAGAGTAGTAGATGATGTAATCATCGGAATTAAAGAACCCGCGAACTTCACTGATGCCTAGAAGATCTATCTTCAACCGATTCATTTCATTTTTGATGACGTTATTTTCTATATCATGCCAAAGTGGGTTTCTTTTATTGGAGTCAACACCAATCAGCAGCCTATTCTTATCAATTGGTTCATAGGTTTCATCTATAAAAGAGATGGCTTCATTCAGAGGTAAAAGCTGGGATAGCAATAAACTAAAGATATGAACAGAACAGTATCCAAAGTAATAGATATTACAGTGCAGTACTCATTACATATCTGGGTTAGCTGCAAGATGGGGATATTTCCATTGCATATAATAATGCAAGCTAGGGGATTGGGGACACCTGCAGAAATAATCTTGAAACTCCTAGGAAAGCCAACAATTTTGGTATTGTATACGTAGGGATCCTGTAACAGAGTAATGTCTATGTTATTATCTATTAAGTATTTTGCCTTGGAGTGATTGACATTAAATTGAATTTTAATATGTTTCTTGGTATGTAGCCTCCATAGTCCGCGTTTTCAATCAGTTTTGATTTAACTTTTAAGTATACAAGAATTCTGGGTCCGTGGCTTTGTGGAAAATATTTTGAACATTGATTTTTACGTTTAGCCCATCTGATACAATTAATACACTTAATAACAGAAGACTTGGTCTGAATTTTCCGACGGTTTAGCTGTTTTTAATGTTGATTTAGTGAATGTCTCTTCAATTCGAAAAAATGTTTTCGGTAGACTATCTAGCTCGAAATGCATCTGAAAAAAGCAATAAAAGGAGTTTATAACCTGAATTGGCTGTGAGGTAGTCTACCGAAAAGATTTTTTCGGATTGAAGAGACATTCACTAAAAGAAGACTTGGTCTTTTCCACGCATGTTCTATAACTATGACCCTCGACACCACAATGTGAGCAGGCTGGTTGTTCAGGTACACATTTTGAAGAAATGCGACTAAATTTATAGCAGTTGTAGCACTGTTTGATTCCTAAGTAATTGAAGACATGATGAGATCTGATTCCTAATTGAAGTCTTGATGAGATATAAGTCCTATATACACCCTTCTGTTTTTTTAGTAAATTTTGATGAACTTGTGGAGTGGTCAACAAAACCCATGTTTTCTCTTGAGCAGAGTCTGCCTTGGATCTGAAGGAGAATAATGGTTGCAGTATCTGATCTTTTTCTTCCAGTATTTTTTAAAGTTATCATTCTGTGCAGTGACAGTGTTAATCAACTCCTCTTTAGTTAGGTTAGAGCACACATTTGCACGAAGGGCTTTCTTTTAGTTTTCTTTCTGGCCGAAAATTTGAATTCAGAGTCATTATTGTTATTGATTAGTTCAATAATTATATCGACACTGGCAGTGCTGGATATTTGGAGGTGACTTTCCCATCTTTTTGCACCAGATAGGAGTCAATCCCGATGCCATTGGTAGCCGGTTTTAGTACAGATTCTAAATGACTTCTGACTGTATTTTTTTCTCTTGCGAGTTTTTAATCCTGGAGTTAACAGTAACGTCTCCTTTTTTTGCACTTGACCAGGCTGGTCATGGACTTTGACTCTGGAAGCTTTAATAGCATTTGCATATGATTTCAAGTGCGATTGATAATGTATTTTATGGTCTTGCATTTTAACTATTTCTTCTTGTACTATATTATATTTATCTAAGCAATATATATATAGATGTCAGTTATCCTTTGTATTAGTTGATCCATTGTGTAGTTTTCTTGTTGGTTGACTGGGCATTTATTCACTATGGGCTGATAAATACTTTTTAGTTGGTTGATGGCTTCTGTAAATCCCAGTTTCGATATTTCTTCAAAGGCCGCAGAGACATTTTTTGGGGAAGATCTAGGTTTGCGTCCCCGCATCGTGCTGCAGATTAGACTTAGCTATCGCGCTAAGCCGTGGGCACGAGTGCAGTTCAGCAATAGCAAAATAATACAAATTTTGTAATACTCACATGCATCAAAGGCTAACAAGCAAAAATAAGACAACCAAATGTTTTAGAGAAATGGTAGAAATAATTAATTATAAAATTAGAGCCAGAATAAAGACAGTGTTCAACTTGATGCCACCTGGCGGTCACTCATGATGTAACTATTGTATTACGTAAACAACATGACTATAAATATTTGCGTGTTCTCCTGAAGTCATCTTACTCCAGGGTTATGCGTACAGTTGCATATCTTTGATAGAAAGGCTTATAGTCATGGAGTAAAATGTACCATACTAGATACTTCCATGTCATTTGGAGGCAGTTTGCATCTTTCTAATTGATACATTGGTGGTTTCTGGAGTGCTTTTAAAAAGTTACTTTCTCAATGTGAGATTGATTTCTGACAGTACGGAGGAGTCTTTCCCTCTCGGACTGTCCAGTATTGAGGATAACACCACCAGAGCAGAGCCGTATGTTTCTTTTTTTTGTGTTGTATTTTGTGTTCTTTCATTCTCGTGAAAGGTTGTGTCCTATGTAACGGCTAACGCGGTTCTGGTCTCTGACTATGACAGGAATTTCTTAAATTCTAGGAATGGTGTTTAAATCTATTGGATCTTTCGTATTGAGAATGATGTTATATATACTGGGGTTGCACTTGTATATTAAAGACACGTTACAGGAGTTAAACCGAATAAGAGGTGGCTAAATAACATGGCTACACACACACACTGAAGCATAGAGAAGCTGAGAGGCATTTTGCGACAGAAAACCGCAGGTTGAAAGTGCCTACAACATACTCGACCAGTAGTGGTCACCTATAACGGACAACTAGATAAAACGTGCAAGTTAAAATTTGAAAACAATTGCAAATATTTTTTTTATATCTTTTATACTTTAAAGTAATTCATATGCTACAATGTAAAATATTTAATGATGCAACAAATAGTATATTCGGCCTCAGGCCGAATACCGAATATTCGGCTAGGAGAGTGGCCGAATGGCCGAATATGCGGCCAAACTATTCGGCTCGATTAACGCACGTACGAAAAGTGGCGCGCAAACCGATTATGGCAAGGACCCCGATCTCTATTGGTCCGCTGTCACTACGCTTGGCCAATTCTTGACAGTTGTAGCGGACAGACACGAGCGTCCTGGCAGTATGCGATAAGTGATGATACGAAATGTGGATAAGAATGAAATGACCTACACGCGTAAATAACGGAAAAAGAACAGAGAAGGACCGCGAAGTGAAGATGTGAAGATAAATACGAAATTGAGTCGATAACATAATCGAACAAGTTGATTTCAAAGAACACCATAGCAGTTGATCTTGATAAGTACTTGAGCGTGAAAATTGTAAAGAGAAACGACGATCCATTTGCCTGGTGGGCTACACATAAATCTAAATTTTTCCAATGTTTAGTCAAACTGGCTGCGAAGTACTTATCAGCTCCCGCAAGCAGCGTGTATTCAGAGAGGCTTTTTAGTGATGCAGGAAACGTATACGAAGAAGAGGAAAAGTCTTCTTCCCAAAAATGCGGAAAAGTTGATTTTTCTGCACTATAGCCTACCACTTATTAACTTAGTTATGATAAATAATTTTCTACAATCAAATAAAAAATTAATTTAGTTTTCAAGTTTATAATAAGGGATGATTTCATAAAAACGCTTTACAGATAATTAATTAATTATTATTTTTTCACATTTTATGACCTAAGTTTCGATCCAATGTGTCCAGGCAGTAAAAATTTTCATACAAATTTTTCACCCCTTTAGGGTTGAATTTCGTAACTCCTAAACTTTCCAAAAGGAACACACCTTCAAGTTTTTAAGTTTCTAGCACCAGTAGTTTTGGCTCCGCGTTAATTATCCTATCGGGACTTGTTCCTAAGAGTATATAGATGACTAAACTACATAATAAGCAGGTAGTTTTCATTTGATTTGTTACCTTTTTTTGATCTCTTAAAAAATAACTTAGTTATATTACTTTTCCTTTGATCTTTTACATCAATAACCAAAAAATTGCACTTTCTCGAAATTGAAATGTACGTTCAGCGTTAATAAAAGATACCAAAGTGATTAATTTACTGTGTTTTTGTTATTTTTCAGGTATTCGGCCGAATAGTAACCGAATGTTCGTTGCATCTTTAAAAATATTTTAAAATTTTACTTCGCATTAATTTGCCGTTTTACTTTTGAAAACAAACACTTATTGTTCCGATTTGACTTAAAGTTCTTGTTTCATATTTTGCACTCCTTTATAATCAATTAACATTTTTCAAGAGCCGAACTTCTAAAGATCGGGTCTTTCTACCTAAGTCGAATCGTTGGCCCGGCATAAACGGGTTAGTTAAGTTTGAATACAAAATGGTGTCATCGGGAAATATTTGAAAAATTAAGCTTTTTAAAACTTAATACTAAAGACTTTTATGTAAATATTATTAATTTTTTTTTTAAATAGAATGACTAAATTTGATTACTTTTCGGACACTCGAAGCCTGAGAAGCACGTTCCATTTCCTCGTTTAAATATCAAACGCCATCTAGCGAAATTTTTATTTTTTTTTTAGAATTATCTATTTTATACTCCGATGACAATTTAAATGGGCGAACTTTTTATTTTAAAACTAGTATTAATTACTTATTTAATAAAATATTTCAAAATTTACCAATATTTATTGACTACCAATAATAATTTTCAATAGGTAAAGCGATCAGAAATTAAAAAAAATTTGTTTTCGATAATTAGAAAATAACAGAAGGCTTAAATGATTAATAAATAGCCCAAAATACTTATTTTATTTATTCGAGTCTTGGCATTTGAAATACTTAAAAAATTAGCAATTGTTGAAAATTTCTTTGAAGATAATTAATCTATAAAGAATCTATGTTTATATTCAAAATACAGTTTTATGTCATACCAATACTACGGTAACGGTAATGTAATTTTTCCCCGTTTTGACTCTGTACTTAAAAATATTAGTAATGTAAACAACACATTTTATAATTACATATTTAAAGTTTATTAAAATCTTATAAGCGTCGACAACATTTAAATTCGTTTATGCATTTCAAGCATATTCTATCCTTTATTTAAATTGATAATTAATCTACCTCGATTTTGGTCAAAAAATCTTTTCTTCCTAAGCGCTAGGAAGCATTTTATTTTTATGCCAATATCCATAACGACGACAGATCGAAGACGGACCTTCCGTGAAAAATTTTTAAGATTCTGATCTCGACTCGAGCTCGGGTCCTCCAAGCTGCCGGCTGACGCTTTTTAAAGCTTGTTATCGGACTATTTGGCTAAATTGTTAGTTAGTAAATAATTGCAAACCCGGCTGGAGTTAGCGCTGCCGGATGTTTTTTAAAACGGGACATTTTTCCGGTTCCGCTAGCGAGTTGCCTAATTTTAACCGTAACAAGTTGCTTTCGTTGTATCTGTCCACTGTGGAACGCGATTTGTCTCGTCGCTGCGAGTAGTCGAAAATATGTTGAAAAAGTTGTTTTACGTTTTTAAAATTCTGAAACGAACAGGAAATGCGTTGCAAATGGCTGTTGCGGCTTATATAAATTGGACTTGCGGTTTTGAATGCGTGTAGTAGGATGAAATGAGTTCCTAAAGCTAAAATAATACGCTATTCGTAACGAGATTCGATGCGTGCTTCTAATTGACAAGAAGCTAAGTAAACAAACCAGTAGAATAGTCTGTTTTGTATGAAACGAAGTAATCTACGGTTCGCTCACTTAACTACTTGTCATTTAGAAGCGCGCCGTGTCTCGGCTGGATACACATTCGTCGTACTAAGGTAAAAAACGCTCTACCTGCACTTTGAGGTGGGTTCTTTCTGGTAGCTTACATTATATCACGCGGAGGTTTAAATGTTATAAATTAAGTATCGGTTTTGCGGCCCGACCAAAATGTAATTATCTCTAATGGGCTACAAACGTATCTTCGGTTATTAATTTAGCACGAACTTATTTTTATTCTGCCATTTTAATGTTTAAGTTTCTTCGTCTTTCTTTCTTTTTTTTGTTACATTTTTTAACGTTTTAAACAATTTTTTTATTCTTAGAATGTAGATTTACTTTCACCGGATTTTGGAAGCGGTCCAATGTAGAAAACTGTCCAATTTAAGAAACCAGTTGCCTAGAACGGACTGATATCAACAGTTTACAGTATTTGTAATCTTATTTTTATTAAATAATTTTTCGTCACGATAAATATACGACAAGAAGGTACATACGATACTTTGCCTTATTTCCGTATATGTTTACTGATGTAAATTATGTGAAAACTAATGTAAATTAGGCAACTTTCTTCTATAAGACATAGTAGAATTCTATATATAATTATACAAGTGGGAATTTTGCGTCTTAGAGGGCCCTAAAATTTACTCTTTTCTGTTTGTTTGTTAAGTTATGGCAACGCAAAACTTGGGCGATCTGCCTAGGGGGATGTCTTCCGGGTCTTTTTAAGGGAAACTGACTCTTTAAGCGTTACAGACGTGGAGAAAACCCGGAACCCAGTGGCCAGCCCGTCCCACGACCGAACTCCCGATGTTCGGGGAACGAACACCCCCTGGCCACTGGCGGGCCAAAACTTAGAATATATATTTAAACTATATAAACTATATATATATATGTATAACTATATAGTCATGCTATTTCAATCTATATATATATATATATATATATGGACGTGTGTATCCCTATATTTCACTTTTCAGCCAAAACTACGCATCGCACATGAATGGTGTTTGTATGTGGTAGTAGCCCCGAGTCTCCATTCATGCACTATGGTTGTTGCGTCTCGATAGCTATAAGGGTGCGGGAGATATGGGCTTCAAAGTGGTTGAAAGTGGAAAATTTTCTATTTCGATTTAAAAAATTTTCGAATTCGAATCGATTATAGAACGATTGTAAACGTTCCAGAAAATTGATCAAATTGAAAATAGTTCGTTTGACTGGACGTGAATAGGAGACGTTCTCTCTGGAAACGGGGGACCTAATTCTTGCATTTTGTGAGAACGGGTAAGATTGGCTATAATGTAATTATCTTAATCTTCACTATCGTTACTTTTTGTCAGCGAAGCGGGTCCTTGCAGCTAGATTACTTAGAAAAACAAACTTATATATATATATATATATATAAAACTATATTACATAGAAATGTACGAACAAATAAAAACCTAGCGAAGCGGGTCCTTGCAGCTAGTCTTATAATATAATCGAGATGGGTTGATGATGGTAATAATAATAATAAAACATTAATTAATTAAAGAATACCAAAGTAGATTAAACTCTATTCTCAGAACACAGTTAAATACAAAACACACAGTTAAAGCAATAAACACATGTGTCGTCTCAGTACTCACTTATTACTTTGGTGTTATACATCGGACTCACACAGACCTCGAGCAACTCCAAAGGAAAACAACAACAACACTTACTAAGCGTAAACAACATCATCCTAAATCTGCCGTAGAAAGATTAACCTTTTCACGTAGAGATGGCGGACGTGGTCTGATCGACGTAGTAAACCTTCACTACAAACAAATACAGTCACTGCGAGAGTTTTTCTACAAAAAACAAGAAACATCACAGTTACATAAAGCAGTAACTCTAGCAGATTCAAATAACACACCATTAAAATTAATTGCACTCACAGCATATAGACACGACACAATNACATAGTAAACCTTCACTACAAACAAATACAGTCACTGCGAGAGTTTTTCTACAAAAAACAAGAAACATCACAGTTACATAAAGCAGTAACTCTAGCAGATTCAAATAACACACCATTAAAATTAATTGCACTCACAGCATATAGACACGACACAACATATGAAAAGCATAGACAACACGAAGTAATCGTGGGTTTAAAAAGCACTCCACGACAGGCATCACTACAAACTGGCCCAGGATTTTGTTGACAAAACTGCGTCAAACGGCTGGTTAGCTCGAGGATGCCTCTTTGGGGAGACGGAAGGATTCGTGATTGCCATACAGAGCAGGTCATAAATACTAAAAACTACAGAAAACACATACTCAAAGATATAAAAATCACAAATGACACTTGCAGAAAATGTCACATCATGCCAGAAACCATGCAACACTTCACTTCTGGTTGCAAACTCTTGGTACAGACATAATTTACGTCGACATAATCAAGTAGCAAATACATCAAGAGCTTGCAAAGAAACACAAATTATTAGACATCCACGAACCATACTACAAATACGTTCAACAGACAGTATTGGAAAACAACACGCACAAACTGTACTACGACAGTCATAATCACAGATAAAACAATTTACCACAATAGACATCGCACTCATTGACAAACACAATAAAATCACATACATTATAGACATATCCGTTCCAAACACTCACAACGTACAAAACACACGCAGTGAAAAAATCAGCAAGTACACGGAACTCGCCCAGGAAATAAGGCATCTGTGGAGGATGGATAGGGTGCTTATTGTACTGTACCTGTCGTTCTCTCCTCTACAGGTGTCATACCACAAACACTACACAAAAGCCTGGGAACATTACAACTGAATCTTAATGTTACATAGAGGTTTAATTTCTTGTTACTTTGAGATTTTATCTATGTAACTTATATATAAAATTTATTTATATTTGCAATGTTCTTTTATATACAGTGAATTTCAAAGAACGAGCTAAATCATTCACTATATACACAAAAAATAGCACGCGATAAACAAAATTATTCGCTATATCGAGTGGTCACTATATCAAGAATCTTTTATACTCTATTTAGTCTATTATATACAAACTTTTCAAAAATTGTTCAAACTGAGATTCATCTTTTATGATATACAAATTACAACAAGCGAATTCAGTTTACGTTTCACACACGGAATATAAACGCGGTTAACTGACTTTTAGTCCACCTTCTGTAAATATTTTATTTTTTAACATTTATAAAAATAGTAGCTGATACCCGCGACTTGGCCCGCGCGGATTTTGCAAGCAAACCCCATTTACTCGTATATTCAGTACTTCAACAAGCATAGTATTTGTTATATAACACCTGCCGCCGAGAGTGACGACAATTGCCGAGAATCAAACCAACTGTTTTCAATTTGATCAACTTTCTGGAACATTTACAATTATTCTATAATCGAACCAATACGCGATAACAAATTGTCGAATATTCGGTTAAAAAATCAAAATATATGAAAATATTTATAACAACGTCCGAAATGTTATCAATTTAATACACCTAAATACTCGACGAAGACTAAACGTAGTTGAAAACAAAAAATCGCATGTAAAATAGTACAGTAGAAGCCGTTCTTCCGGTTAAGCGTTAATTCTCTCCCTCTCCTCCGTGGGGGAATTTCGAAAAATCCCTTGTTAGTGCGCATTTTCACGACGTACCCTAACTGCGTACAAAATTTCACCCCTTTGGGTTCGGCGATGATGAATCAGTCAGTCAGTCGGGACAAGTAATTTTATACATTTAGATTAAATTTATCTAAAACTAAAGCTTTAAAAATTTTAATGTGGAAATAAAGATTGATCTGGTCTT